ATAAATAAAAAAAATAAAAAAAATAATATGAAATAATTAAATAAAAAAATTAAAAGGTGATTTAAAAGTAAAAAAAATAAGAAGAAACAAATTATTAAAAAATAAGAAAATAATTATAAAAAACAATAATAAGATAAAAAAATTATTAGAAAAAGTAAGTATGATAAATAAAAATCTAAAAAAAACAAATTGATTAAAAAAATAATTAAATAAATAAAAAATAAAAAAAAGAAGAAGAAATAATTAAAAAAATAAAAAGTGGAAAAAAAAAAAAGCAGTAAAAAAAATTGACACTAACCCCGCCGCCCTGCCATTCTCCATTGGTGGGAAGGGGGGGTTTGAGGGGGCGAGGGGGTCTTGGGGTTTGGCCTTGGGGTCGGCAGGGAGAGTAAATTCGGCCCTGCCGGCACTGCCAGGGTTAAGTGCTCGTTTTACCAAAACAAAAGCAAAGAAGAGCGCACTCCCGTGTGTGGCGTCAGCACATCTTATTGGTGCGAGTCAAACGATGAGGAACTGCTCAGAATCGTAGCAGATATTTGCGTTCTCATAGTTTTTCCAAATGAGATGTAAATGTAAAAATCCGAACGAACAATCCTCCAAATCCCGATATCCGGACTCTGGGGGGTGTGGTGAGCGGTGCCGGGTACAAGTGTTCGTATCTCTGGGTGGTGATTTGTTAAAATGTTCATTAAGAATATCAATTACGGTACCACTAACGCATTTCATTCCTTCTACAGGGATCGTAATTTCACCCGGACAGAGTTCACTAGAAAGCCTGGAATGGAGCTGAATTGTTAGTGTGTCCTACGAGCAATGAGCGCGGCCTCCAGGTTTAACTATTTGTTCAAGCCCTAAAGTACGGGGGGTGGGGGGGAGGGGTGTTCCTCTGGAAATCCATTGGCTGTATTTGATGTTCTTAATCAATATTGTAATCAAATCCTCCAGTGAGATGAACCTTTGTACTCGGTGCTCCTAACCCCACACCCAACAATGGATCATGTGATCTCACGCCATACTTCACCCAACGCTTGGCACCAATGAGTGCTCCATGATGGCTTTTTAATGACAGACAGCGGGTGAGGTCCCAGACACTGAATACTGGTCACAGACACCGACGCCGTATACTGGTCACAGACACCGACGCCGTATACTGGTCACAGACACCGACGCCGTATACTGGTCACAGACACCGACGCCGTATACTGGTCACAGACACCGACGCCGTATACTGGTCACAGACACCGACGCCGTATACTGGTCACAGACACCGACGCCGTATACTGGTCACAGACACCGACGCCGTATACTGGTCACAGACACCGACGCCGTATACTGGTCACAGACACCGACGCCGTATACTGGTCACAGACACCGACGCCGTATACTGGTCACAGACACCGACGCTGTATACTGGTCACAGACACCGACGCCGTATACTGGTCACAGACACCGACGCCGTATACTGGTCACAGACACCGACGCCGTATACTGGTCACAGACACCGACGCCGTATACTGGTCACAGACACCGACGCCGTATACTGGTCACAGACACCGACGCCGTATACTGGTCACAGACACCGACGCCGTATACTGGTCACAGACACCGACGCCGTATACTGGTCACAGACACCGACGCCGTATACTGGTCACAGACACCGACGCCGTATACTGGTCACAGACACCGACGCCGTATACTGGTCACAGACACCGACGCCGTATACTGGTCACAGACACCGACGCCGTATACTGGTCACAGACACCGACGCTGTATACTGGTCACAGACACCGACGCCGTATACTGGTCACAGACACCGACGCCGTATACTGGTCACAGACACCGACGCCGTATACTGGTCACAGACACCGACGCCGTATACTGGTCACAGACACCGACGCCGTATACTGGTCACAGACACCGACGCCGTATACTGGTCACAGACACCGACGCCGTATACTGGTCACAGACACCGACGCCGTATACTGGTCACAGACACTGAATACTGGTCACAGACACTGACGCCGTATACTGGTCACAGACACTGACGCCGTATACTGGTCACAGACGCCGTATACTGGTCACAGACACCGACGCTGTATACTGGTCACAGACACTGAATACTGGTCACAGACACCAACGCTGTATACTGGTCACAGACGCCGACGCCGTATACTGGTCACAGACGCCGTATACTGGTCACAGACACTGAATACTGGTCACAGACACTGACGCCGTATACTGGTCACAGACACCGACGCCGTATACTGGTCACAGACGCCGTATACTGGTCACAGACACCGACGCTGTATACTGGTCACAGACACCGACGCCGTATACTGGTCACAGACGCCGTATACTGGTCACAGACACCGACGCTGTATACTGGTCACAGACACCGACGCCGTATACTGGTCACAGACGCCGTATACTGGTCACAGACGCCGTATACTGGTCACAGACACCGACGCTGTATACTGGTCACAGACACCGACGCCGTATACTGGTCACAGACGCCGTATACTGGTCACAGACGCCGTATACTGGTCACAGACACCGACGCTGTATACTGGTCACAGACACCGACGCCGTATACTGGTCACAGACGCCGTATACTGGTCACAGACGCCGTATACTGGTCACAGACACCGACGCTGTATACTGGTCACAGACACCGACGCCGTATACTGGTCACAGACGCCGTATACTGGTCACAGACGCCGTATACTGGTCACAGACACCGACGCTGTATACTGGTCACAGACACCGACGCCGTATACTGGTCACAGACGCCGTATACTGGTCACAGACACTGCCGCTGTATACTGGTCACAGACACTGCCGCTGTATATTGTGGTTTTACATTAAAGGGAACCTGTTGCTTTGCTCTGATTGCCGTATTTCAGGTATCAGAGGTCCGGAGTCGTCCTCTCCTACAGGTATAGCACGGCCAGTATTCAGCACCATAACTACCGATGTGCCAATAGTCCCCAAATCCTCCATATCCTCCCCTCCCCCCCCACACACACCGGCATCGGGAGCTCTGCTCGGGTGAGACTGAACTGTAGGTACAAACATACCTACTTGGCCAGTTGCCACAATGTTGGTGAACTTGGGGTGCTGGTTCACGGTGAGGCACAAGATGTCGTCTGTGTGTTCCTGGTAAAAACTCTGAGATCCTGCAAAGAGGAAAAAAAGACGCTACCTGAAGCTAACATTACAGGCTCAGCTAAGCATGGGACAATCTATGTACCCAAATAGAAACCACCTGCAAAAATCCAATACCGTGGGAACAAATTCTCAGCCTGCTGAACAGATCAACTCACCCCCCCTTCCCTTGTAAAGTGGATTGGTGCAACCACAACCTCAGTGCTGGCCGGCTGCAGCATTACCCACTGAGCCACCGTGCTGATATCATACCTGCGCTGCCCAATCCTTGTCCTGTCACTGTGTCATGGGGGGTCTGCTGATATCAGATGGATAGCTACAGGAAGTGATCAGATGGGGGGAGTTGTCAGTCCATGGAGGAGTGAGGGCGAGGTGTGCTGAGATGGATAGCTGCCATTGGAACCCCCCTCCCCCCAATAATACGCAGTGCAAAGGGTACTTACCCGTAGCAACGTTATACAGGATCCCAATGGAGGCAGAGTGGTACAGGATATCAGAACAGTCATTTAAATAGTGGACGTTGTTCCTGCAGTCTTTA